AAAAAAAAAAAAAAAAAAAAAAAAAAAAATTGAAACTGAAGGCTTGGATGAGCGGGCCACTGGCAATGAGGCTCAGATAATGAGGAGGGGGCTCTGCTCTGCTGGTTCACGCATGTCCGAGTTCAGAGGACCACTAGGGACCGAGACCTTTTCCGGAAGCATAGTGGCGAAACGGTGCCGACATCTCCGAGGGTGTCCAAGATTTAGAAAACCTGCAAGCTCTGCTCAGCAGCTCCTACAGGAAGGAACGGCCTCAGCGGCGCTGGGTAATGCCGATGCTGATGGGAACAAGAAACTGACAGGAAAGGAGCAGAGGGCAAACCGGAAGGAGCCAGGTCCCTTCGGCTTCCTCCAGGTCTCCACAGTCTCTTTGGTGCCCCCTGTTGGCAGAGCCCAACACAGCTCGTGGGCAAAGCGGAAGTGTGGTTTGCAGAGTTGCGATCCCAGATTCTCAAAGCCCGGAACTGGGAATGGAGTTGAAGCCAAGAGATAATAGCTTGGTAATTGGCAAACTTAGCAATATCGCTTGCCAAGGACCAGTGACCATGAGTAATCCATTTCCGTATCCCTAAGGCCCAAATATGCTTTTAAAGGAGTACGTGAATGCATGAAGGACTAATTGTGTTCCTGGATAGCTAGTCTGAATGTTTTGCTCATGTTCTTTCCAAATTATGTCACGGATGTTTAAAGCAAATTCAATCAAAATTCCAATGAGATTATTTTTCAAAGGATTTGACCCAATTATTCTAAAGGTCTTCTGAAGACATGGATGAGAGAAGCAAAGACTTTATTTACTTCATTTTTTTGGTACTAAATTATAACCATTTATTTTTTTTTAGATGTTTATTTATTTTTGAGAGAGTCAGAGTGTGAGTGAGGGAGGGGCAGAGGGAGAGGGGGAGACACAGAATCCGAAGCAGGCCCCAGGCTTTGAGCTGTCAACACAGCCTGACGCGGGGCTCAAACTCGGGAACGGCGAGATCATGACCTCAGCTGAAGTATGATGCTTAACTGACGGAGCCACCCAGGCGCCCCTAAATTGTAACTATTTAAATATCCATAGGGTATTTTATTTTTGCAAAGATAGGGTCTAAAAATTCATAAAACTGAAAAAAAATCATAAAACCGAATAGATCAATAATATAACACACATCAAAATTAGATTAAAAATGTAGGTCCTGGGTCTCATTTGCTACGTCCTGTAGTTAAAGATGTCACAAAGATACTTCGCATATCACCAAGTACTCCAGCATTTATAAGCACAGGTGTCATCAAAAAGTTCTCTCTCTGGGGCACCTGGGTGGCTCAGTCGGTACTCAGGTCACGATCTCGCGGTCCGTGGGTTCGAGCCCCGCGTCGGGCTCTGGGCTGCCGGCTCAGAGCCTGGAGCCTGTTTCAGATTCTGTGTCTCCCTCTCTCTCTGCCCCTCCCCCGTCCATCCTCTGTCTCTCTCTGTCTCAAAAATAAATAAACGTTAAAAAACAACTTTAAAAAAAAAGTTCTCTCTCTGATTTTGCCAAAGAGAAACCATCCAAATTTTGTTCTTTATATTACCAACACAATTTAACTATATCAGTTGGGCACGTGGCCTTACTATTTTTCCTACTGTAAGCACATTCTAGTTTTCCCAAGTCTTTCCCTGGACTATTCTGGAAATAAAATAAATCATCATCTACTTCAAACGCTCAAATTAGAATGTTAATCAGTGGTCCAAATTATCCTCATAAATGCGTATACCAGGTTGGTATGTTCACATATATCCTTTCCAATTTTAGGCTAAGCAAAATACATGCACTTAGAGCTGTATTAATGTATTAAAGCAAAAGACAGCTCCTTTTATGATCAAGAGAAACCTTGGTCCTTCCATGTAGTGTCTGATCGAGAAAACATTGATTTTGATACATTATTTTATTTCACTCAAATACCGGTCTGATCACACAGGGTCCCAAAACACTCAAATAACAAGCCAAATACAGACAGATGTTAAAGACTGGTCTTCAAACATCCTAGCCAATGACGCCACGCTTGCCTATGATCTCACTGACATAAAACCACATCCACACCTCAGTGGCCACCAAATCATTCAGCAGAGCCTCCTTAACTGTAAGTTGTTTCAAGATACCAGTTTGAGCACGCTCGACTATTTAAAAAAATTAAAAAAAAATTTTTTTTTACGTTTCTTTATTTCTGAGAGAGAGAGAGAGAGACAGAGCATGAGCGGGGGAGGGGCAGAGAGAGAGGGAGACACAGAATCTGAAGCAGGCTCCGGGCTCCCAGCTGCCAGCACAGAGCCCGACTCGGGGCTCAATCCCACAAACTGTGAGATCGTGACCTGAGCTGAAACCGAGTCAGA